CCCCTAGAGCTCTAGTAACTTGTCAAGCCATGAGAAATAAATACAGCATTAGAAATTCCATAAGCGTTCAGTGAAGGAGTCTGCTTTTACCACGCTCCCTCTAATTATGGCTCTGGTTGAGGAAGGTACTTAGAAATGGTCCCTTAAATGTTGTAGCCCTTTATTGTTTAGTTTCCACATTTTCAATACTAAAGGAAAAGCTAATTTCTGATGATTTTTAGTGGACTTTTGCTCCTTAATGTGGTTTTTTTCAGCAGTGCAGCTCTAAACAGAGCTCATATTTAAATTATTTAATAATAAGGTTTGTTAGTAGTCTACTGAGAAGAATAAGAGCAGTTTATGTCTCTATGAGAAAGGAGAAAGAGAAATTATTGCAACACATACAGACATCTTGAATTTGCCTTTCCTTATGACTTCCAAACAAGTGTTCCTGCAACAGCAGGGGACACAATACAACTATGCATTTATATATGGTCCTCTCTGAAGACATTTTTCCAGCTGCAGTCAGATACTTTTTTAATGAAATACAGATTGATGACCGTTAATCATCCAACCTACAGATTTGCTTAACTGGCAGGTACAGTTATGATTTTGCAAAGGGCAATTCTCACCTTGCCAGATTTGACCCACTTCATATTAAAATTATGTCATTTACGAACAAAATATTTCACAAAAAAAAGTTTGTATGACTTTCTGACTGGAATGCATTGTGAAGCTCTAGTTGGTAATAAAAATCTAAATTCAACCCAATTTTTTCCTTCAGTTAAAAGATCCTCATTTTTTTTAAAGCTTGAAAGACATCACAGTTGAGTTATTTTCACAATATGTAATGGGATGAATGTTGTCTGATGCAGCAAGGGTTAGCACCTTGCATTGCTTTTGTAGAAGTCCTGTTTATTCATATTGAGTTTTGATTATCCTCAGAAATTATTTGGGTTCTCTTTGCTGGTTCATCTGCTTCTCCAGGTCTTTGTATTTACCGGTTACACCAACTGTATGGGAAGCCTAAAAGACTGAAAAGGTAAATTCTGTATTTTGCTGGAGGTCTGTCCCAGAGAGCAGCTGGTGTGATTTGCAGGTTATATTTAGTGAACTGGCTGGATTTAAGTGATAATCCCATCTATTTTCTGCATTTAAATCATAGCATTTTAGAAACTTCTCCACTAGTCTCCATTAAATGAAGTGTCTTGGCAGAGCTCGTCTCTTGTCATTTCCCCATCACAAAAATGACAGAAATGGCTGAAAAAGGAGTTTGGAGAGAATAATTATTATAAAAAGAAGGTTCAAAGTGATGAAGTGTCTGAAAAAGAAAAGGGGGTTCATATTAACCATTTTATTTACAAACTAGTAAACAAGGACATTTTAGAGTATAAGCTATCAAAACCTGATGTTTTATCAGATTTATGGCATTGTTGTAACACTGGTTCTGCTATTTGTGACTTTGTTTTTCTCATTACATGAAAAACCAATTCTGTGCTCCTTTTCAAGTAATTCTTACTAAATATAATTCATCCCAATGTAGAAGCCCTTTATATGGGGCTGGCAGTGCTGGATAACCAGAGCATGAGGTCTCTACACTTGGTAGATTTCATCAACAGGGAATTCTGAGCATCACAAATGCTCTGCTCATCTTTGGGTTGCAGGATTCAGCCTTTAATTTGCAGCAAATGGAACAGGATGGTGTTATTCTTGTCCAAGAAGTGTTCTGAGAATGATGCATACAGCAGAACCTCATTAAAGATCATTAACATGTTACTCTCTAGGCCTGCAGGCTGAAGGTGGACATGTCACACAAAACCGTGCAGTGTCCTCTCTTTTCAGCAGAGAATGCACTGCAGGCTCTGCAGTGAGCTCCTGTATAGAACTCAGGCTTTATTGCTCCCATTCACAGGACTCTATTCAACATTTCTTCTTCATGAATTACAAACATGAGCATGCCTGTGCTAAGTTATTTAAATAAAATTAGTTTCATATATTGCAAATATATACTTGTGTATATTATATGATGTATATATGAAAATATATTTCGATTTTGTAGAAACTTAGAGTCTAAGGCTTAATTTTGTTGGGCTCTACATAAAAAGAAAAGCTTCTGCCCTGAGGACCTGATGTCCTCTTTGTTCTATCACATTGTGCAAGCATACAAAGTTCAGAAATGTGAATTACTGCATATTTGCAGTTGAACTTCTTCCTCCATTCTCCAAGGCCAGCTGAAATGTCTCTTTGGTGAGCACAGGCACTTCTTCAGAGGCTATGCTGGGATTGAGCAGACCAGGTCTGTGCTACCTGTTCTTTCTTTACCAAGGCACATTCTTGGGGCCACTTTGTAGTTTATGTGTGTGTCTGAACATGGAGCACAGCCAAGTGTGAAGAGCTGGGAGATGCAGCTTCTGAAAACCCCAACAATTGCCTAAAGATGGGGAGGTAAACAGATGACAGTGTAAAATTCTGTGAACAGCCTTTGACTCATCCTGCTTCCAAGTTATTTGGAAATACATGGTAATGGATACCAGCCCGATGTTCTAATATTTAAATTAGCAAGGAAACAGTGAAAATGCTGTAGTCCTGCAGTCACAGGTGGTGAGCCTTAGTGAAAATCCCATCTCAATGGTAAGCACAGGAGTTGCAGGGACAGTTGCTTGTAACAGGAATGAAGGCACTAGATTGTATTGCCTTCTTGATTTAGTAGATTTGACTTCTACTTTTCACACAATGACCTAAAAGAAATATTATACCCCAGAGTAACTTTGAAATTGTTTGTTTAAATTAACTTTCATTTGGATTTATGCTTAATGAAATCTTCAGAGATGCAGACAACCCCTCTCCAATGAAATGCTCTGTCTTTGAACCAATGAACAGGGTTGCCAAACTGTAAGGACTCCTCTCTAAATGAGTGGGCTTTTATAATGTTACACTTGGGTGGCACAAGCAGAGTGCTCGATGATTAGTTTATGGTCTAGATCATTGTATTTTTATTACACTCATAAAAACTGTGTTTCTCCTCATTTTCGTAATGGCTTCAATGAGCTTCTATACCTTCTAGAGGCACATTAAATCGTTATGTGATGAAAGTACTGATTTAGTGGGCTAGTTTTAAAGTAAGATGCATGTTTTGAATTCTTATCTTAGTCTGATTGCTGGCTGAAAAAGGTGAAACTATTTTAGAATGAAAGAAATCTGTATCATCTTCCTTACATATAAAAAAGGTTTCCAGCTGTGGCCTAAAACAAATGCAGTACAAAAAAGATGCAAATGATAAATATACATCTGCCTGTAAAGTATTTATAATTTTTAAGTATATTTAAATGGTTTTATGGCATTGTGAGGTATTAACGTGAGGATGAGGAAATTACAGACATTTTTATTTAAAAAACCTTTTTTGAGGGGTTAAAAAAAATATTATTCTTAAATTCCACTGTAATTATTTACCCCACTTCTTTTCAAAATGATAAATAACCCTATTCTGGGTAAACCCTAGATTCATTTCTCTAAATAATTCTCAGCCGGTTTTAAAAGTAGTTTTAATTATGTTGCAAAATGAGAAAGGGAAGAAAAACGTTATTTGTTTCTCTATATGCAAGCTATTCTTAAAAGAGAAGACAACATCATTATCCATGAATGGGAAACCTTTTTATTTGATATGTAATTTTAAAAAATAATCCTTGAATTGAATGTATCATCTCATCTTTGCACAGTTTAGACAAAGGCCTTTTTTGTTGACAAAATTTACATGTCAATACAGTTGCTTATAAATATTTCTGTGAAATAAACATAACCCTTCACAAAAAGAGCAGTTTACTCTTCATTTAGTAATTTTATATGCTAGCAAAAAGACAATGAAAGTTGTATGCAAATATAACATCAATGTACAGCATAATAATAACAGTTTTTAGTGATTATACTGCTTGGTATTAATTCATAGGAGCCTTTTTGTTCAGTCATGGGCTGTGTTTGGAACAGAGATATGCCAGACCAGAGCATCTCTGCTTGTTTGCTGTTTGTGACAGACATCCACAAATCCTTTAGTTGAGGATGTGCTTGATTCTTGTATCCTGCTCTGTGGCTGGTCTAAATTATTACGTGATCATGCTGACAGGAAGATACTCTGTTTTCCTCTGTTGCTGTACCTGTGCTCTGTGAGTGCACTGTATGCAGCACAGGTTGGACTTTCATTCTACCTCCACGAAAAAAAAAAAAAAAAAAGGAAAAACAAAACTAGAGAAGAGAAAGGAGAAGGGGAGGAAAAAAATTGATAGAAAAATAAAATAGAAAATAGGAAAAGAGAAAGGAAAATAAAAGAAAATTTTTAAAAAAGGAAAAAGGAAGAAAGAAGACAAAGGAAAGCTGGCAGGAAAGAAAGAAGGAAAAAGAAAGCAATGCACATTTGCAATGAATCTTTTATAAATGTGCATTTGGAGGAATGACTTCTCCATCCAAAATGTTCCTGGAAAAACAGATTTGCTTTGAATTTTCCCTGCCTTTTCTTGATTACTGTTGTTCAGATGCAACTTTTATGATTGTTTCAGCAATGCAGTGCTTTAATGGCTTTTGCTTCTTGGCAAACTGAAAAAAGACATGGGGTTGAGAACACAAACAGGTTTCAGTACATGTGACTTCAGTAGGTCTGTGCTGTTTCAGTGTTAAATATCAAATCTTAAATAGATGGGTGTTCTGCAAGCACCATTCAGTGTTCTTCAGTGGATCTAAAAGTTTGCCAGAAAAGCAGTTGAACATGGTACCAGGAGCAAGGAGAGATTTTGGGGATGACCTGAATTGAAATCGCAGGAAATTCTTTAATGTTTCATGGACGCCTGCAAAATATGGTGCCAGTTTATTCAGGGATTTGAAAGCAGCTGCAGAGTAAAAGTGTCTAATGAAAATGAAATAAATTTCCTGTGAATGGAATAAATTTTGATTGTGTGTCTGAGTGCAGTAATTATACATGTCACGCAGTAATTAGGCAGTCACATTGTGGCCACGGTGTCTTTCTTTGTCTGCAGATGGTCTGGGAGAACGGCTGTGTCGTTATTGTCATGCTGACACCCCTCGTGGAAAACGGAGTCAAGCAGTGCTACCACTATTGGCCGGACGAAGGGTCAAACCTCTACCACATCTACGAGGTACCTGCACAAAATTTCTGGTTGCAAACGTGACAGTAAGTGCTGATTCCATCCAGGGCAGAAGGATGCTGGAGGTGCTCTCACCCAGAGGTCGAGCTGCGGACTCTGAAATACACTTGGTGTGCCTTCGGGTAGCTCTGCGTTTGCAAAAAATTTGAAGTGCAGCTTTAACAGCAAGGTGGTTTCCACCAATTATAGTAAATAATGAGTGAAATACTGCAATATTAAAAAAGACAATAATGTTTGCATTTTGAATGGTTTTGCAAGTGGTTGATATATGAAAGCGTGTATTTATGTTTTATAGGAAATTAGTATTTTTAGAACTCGTGGATTTCACCTTAGGATAGACATATGTAAATCTTTGTAGAAAAACCTCTATATTGCTGTAGTAATTAATCCTATCTATTTTTATCTCTTGCCTCAGTCACAACAACAAATATATATTTTTATTTTCTGCTTTGCATTTCTAGCCCAAAATATCATATCACGGGTTATGTTGCAATGCAACATTGACAACGACTGTCAGATTTTTCTAGTGGTCCAGCTGTGTAGAGGAAGAAAATAATACCACAATGCCAAATACAAAGAAATGTGGAGAAATTCTGAAGAAATACTGTTATTTAAACTAAAATGGGAATAAAGTAATTTTCTGAAAAGATGAGCTCTGCAAATAAGCTGCCTTTTTTAATGCTTATTTTTCTTCATAGCAAAAGAAACTGAATTTTTACTTCTCATGTGAATACAACTCAGATTTTTAAGACCTCTGAGAGTGGGCTGGGCAATGCATTTGTGGACATTTCTGAAAAGAAAGAAACTGCCAGTCTAACACATTTTGAATACAAAATATCTTTTGTATTCACGTAATGTTATAAAGATTTAATTCAGTGATTTTTTCTTTTGCATTAAAAATGTCAAGATTTTTCTTGTTTTCAATGCAAGAGCAATGGCAGCTAACCCCTTTCTGACAGCTACATTGATTGCTAAATGAATTTTTTTTTCCCTCCATACTGGCCAATTTGCTAATAAAAATAAAATTTTCATGCAATGCCTTCATCCCAGAAATCTTACACGTGCAATCCTGGAGACGTGACTTGCAACCAGAATTGCTGATCTCCGTTTGTTCCTTCCTGGGCGTGTAGGTAAATCTTGTCTCTGAGCACATCTGGTGCGAGGATTTCCTCGTGAGGAGCTTCTACCTGAAGAACCTGCAGACCAACGAGACCCGCACAGTGACCCAGTTCCACTTCCTCAGCTGGAACGATCAGAGGGCTCCTGCTTCCACCAGATCCCTCCTGGATTTCCGCAGGTAAAGCACAAAGTATGGCGCTTCCTCTAAGATGATACGGGTCTGAGGAAATAGTGCTTTTTTTTTTTTCCTTTAAAGATTTTTGGGTTGAAAGGGGGCTCCTCAGCCTGTGATGCCACAATGCTAAACCAAGAGAAATATCTTCACTAGGTTGATGTTTAGTGTTGCCTCACACAGAGATGTTGCCTGGGTTTATGACATAGTCATTTCGCATTTAGAGATCAATACCTTTCCTCCCTTTGTATAATCTCAGTGCTTCTGTATTTCTTTGTTTTTCAAGTATTTATTAATTTCTGCAACTTCCAGGCTTTTTGTGTGGCTCCCCCAAGATCCTTGTATCAGGACTTTCACAAGTAAATTAGGAAGTGTGAGCTTTAAAAAAAGAATCACAATGGAGTCATATGGCGACAGCATCATTCCCATGGTACCATTTGCTCATAAGGGTCCAACAGAGAGGTCTGCGGACCTTTGGCTGCAGGAAGGTGGAAGCTTGAGGAAGCAGATGAAAATATTGACAAAGCATACCCTTTGGAACTTTAAAGAAACTCAGTGTGGCTTTAAAATACAAATATACAGAGGCAAAAGCTGTGAAAGTCCTCGCCACCTTCTCTAATGTTTGCCGTGCCTATCTAAATTTTAATTTGAAAATTAAAGCCATGCATGATAAATACTGGAGCGAAATAATCTTCATTTGATTGCAAACCGTGCCCAGTGCATCACGTGTAGGTGTTAGCGTGTACCAGCTAATCCACAGCGACGCGCTTATGGCTAATGAAAAGAATCTCCAGGAGGTTTGGGGAGTTGGTGCTCCATCCGCCAGCGGCCTGTGGGATCACATGTTGTTCTCTCTGCTCTACAATATTATCTACAACCCCCCAAAGTGATTATACGGGGCTCAGCGCTCAAAAGATCCAAACTTGTTTCTTTCAAGGAGTGCTGGGAGCTCTGACTGATGCCAGTCAAAGTTGTGCATCTGCACCTGAGGGGAGGAGCTGGCATTCAGCCAACAGGAGCTGGTTGCACAGTTGTCTGTTGGCAAAATTCTACCCTTAAAAATTTAGGGCTAAATGCCACCCTTCATCTACTCAGTATTCTTGTACATAGTGCAAGGCTTTTCAAAGCAGAGAGACATCTCACATGGTGCAGGTCAGGTAATGGAGTGCAGCTGCTCTGAGTCACTTGGAGCTGTGGCTAGGTGAGGATGTAAGGATATACTACAGAGTCACAACACAAAAGCAGTAGTGGAGCAAGGAAGCACAGCCATGGGATGGAGTTGAAACTGTAATTGAATTTTCAAGGTTTTTTTCTCTGGGTTCAACTTTAATATGATTTTTATAGGTTGATTTCCCTTTGCTTGTGGTACCGAGGAAGTTGCCTGTAGTGAATTTTTGTAGTGAGAATTGTGACTCGGTTCCATTAAGCTGTGTGAGGCTGCAGCACAGAGCCAGGGCAGCGTCCAGCTTTTCTCTTTTCAAAGGTAGTGGGAAATCTGCTAGCAATTCTAACTAGAGCATAAATGAGCCTGTACAGCCAGGACATCTGAAGTTCAGAGCACCTCGCCTCTGACTTGTTTCAGTAAGGATTGAGGTCCCTGCATGAGCTGCAGGATTAGATCTACAGTAAGTCACAGTTCACACCGCCAGGAAAGCGCCTCTTAGAGTGATATTGTGTAAGGGTTAAATAGCCGTGTGGAAGAAGTGTTGTGCAATACTTTGAAAAAGAAAAATGATAACTAGATGAGAAAAGTAGCAGAGCTGCCATTCTTTGTATTTTAAGCCAGTATGGGAATGAACCTGTTAAGATTTAATTGAATTCTGAGTGTTCATTTCACATGTATTCACAGTCCAGTGTAGGGTACTGTAATCATTTGCTACGTGCAGATTTTGTACAATGAACTCATAGTACTGAATGCATAGTAAAATTCCGCCTGAAAAGGAATTTTGGCATGCACAATAGCCTGGTCTATGAATCTCAGTTTTCTTGGTCATCTGATCTTCGGGTTGTTTTTTCTTTTTTTCTTTTTCTTTTTTAATGACAAAAAAAACTAATGCACTATTGCTAAAATAATGTATTTGGAATTCATTTATACAATACATGTTTTGCACCTGAAGCTTTCTATTGAAAGTACAGACTCTGCTGGATTACAACAGCTGAGTCAAAAAGCCCCCAGAAAAATGTCTGACAGTGCTACCATACTCTTAGTAGGGTAGTGCTAGGAAGGGGCTGCTCTCATTTCTTTTAATCTTATCTATGTTTTTATGTGCATTCAGTGTCTTTGTATATATATATATGGATATGTGTGTATATTTATATATTCACATACATATATGAAATTAAGCATATACATAACCAACCCTCTATTTTTTATAATTCATCACCAAGAAAAATTGGATTCCCAAAATTACCTTGCCCAGAGTCTGTGGAAATATGGACCTAAACATTTTTATTGAAGTAAATTTTGCAAGTCTCTTTGAAAACTGAAAGCTTACATTTCTCTTACTCTGTATCAGACAGTGATTTAGATGATTTTGCATCTAGCAGATACATTAAACCTTGCTGAATAATCTATCATACTTCCATAATGTAGGAATAAATTGCCAAAAAGAGATTATACTTTACAAATCTGTACAAAAGACAGTCCCTGAGAGGTGAGGCTACTACGGAAACCACTGGTCAGTTTTAAATGCTTCTGGAGTCCTAATTTCATTTTGAACAATAGACCAATCATTATTGCTCTGGACTAGCTTGTTAGTCATGCACTGATATGTGTCATTAAATATTTCTTAAGCCCAGAGGGAGCACATTTACACTTTAAAGAGGGACTGCTAAGCTAAAAGATAATTAGCATCACATGTGAGGGCTTTGCTTAAAATATATATCTATTATGCTATCACTTCTCGCTGTGTGCAATGGCATTTACTAACACTGCTCACTTTAAAAATGGACAAATTCTTATTTTGCCAGCTAATTAGCGGTTGCCAGTGTCATTTTTGTGATGTTGCAGCTAGTAATATGAGCCCAGTTGCATAGTCACAAAAGTGATCATTGGAAACTGTGACTCTGCTGCAGGGACAATGTGGGAAACCCCTTTTCTGAGCCTCTAACGACCTCTGACCTTTGCTTGCTGATGGTTTGCATGATGATTTCTTTTTCACTCAATGAGCCAAGGGTTGGTTTGTATTACTAATCATTCTTTCTAAGTTAATTCTTCCTGTATATGTATATATATATATAATATATATTTTCTTCAACATTCAAGAACTTTGCTTACTGATGAATTTTCAGCTCACTCTCATTAGCCAGAACTAAGAATGAAATGAGATGTTGCTGCACTTCTAAATATTTTCATAAGCTATATATAGACAAAGCTATGAACCAGCTGGATTGAAACCCTTTGTTTTAATGTGTTTTCTGAAATGTGTGATAATGAAAATGTTTGAAACGCCTTCAATAAAACTGACAAACATAAGGTGTCTTTCCCTAACATGTGTCTCTGGCTGTCTGATTTACTGAGAGGTCTGATAGATTTAGATCGAGTTTGCCATTGAAATTATATTAGGACTTTGGTAGATGAGTAGTCACAACATGCAAATATCATATTAGTGGTGCCACGCAAGGAACAAAGGAACCACACAAGCAGAAAGAGAAACGGTAAATACCCCTCTGTAGTGATTAGCTTTTATTTAATACTTGAAATGGGAAAACAACTCTTTACTAATGCACTTGATGGGGGTGGGGGGAGAGTGACCACCTGCGAGTTGGGGAATGCAGGCTGACTGTATCAGATGTTGGTACCGACATTTCAAACATAATTCACGGTACAGTTTTTAAAAAACCCAAAGAAAGCCTCACCAAACCAGGCTTTATATCATATAGAAAGAGCCGATCCTCAGGATACGACCATCAGGAATTGATTGGTGCATTCATGTGAAAACTCTGCTGTAGCCCAAGTCGTTGAAGTTTTGTTTGGTACTGCCTGCATATAGATATATTTATGGGCATATAAATGGTCCATTTAACTTCTGAGGTCATGTGCTTCTCAATGACTTACCACTCATTTAATAAGAACATTGTTCTACTGCATTAATTACTTATATCCAGGGAATATAAATAGAGACAGAATATCTCTGCAAGTATGATTTACATAAGTAAGCAAGAGAGCAAGAATTGTGAAAAGTCCCCAAATTCAAATGTTTAGAGGGAATCCCAACAAGAACTTAATATTGTTCTCAAGTTTGGTTAGAATCTTAAGTAACAAAAATAAGAATGTGAAAACATGGTTTCATGGGATATCACCAATACCTCCACAGCCCTTTTGGGTTGAGTTCCAGGTATCCCAACACCCTGTCAGAAGTTTAGGCATCTTCAGGCTATACTGTAAGCAGTGTTTAAAGATATGTGCATGTTTTCACAGCACAGATGTTAGTGAATAGATGAACAGCCAAGAACTAAATGATTCAGTAGGTTAGGTATGCTTTAAAATTCATAATAACATCATGACACCACTGTTGTTACATTTCAGCAGCTCCCTTTAGTTTAGTTATCAGGATCCTGTGCAACACTTACACTGAGCTGGGGACTATTAGAGCACCCCTTGGAATCTGCCCTGTGAAATGATTTTACAGGAGACCTTCTAGCTCCAGTAAACTCAAACAACTCATCAAATAATTTGAATGAAAGGTTTTGATTTCTTGAAGCAACGCTTTCTATTTTAGCCTTTATTCATCTTGCCTTGTTAACATATGTGTGCATATTTTATGGATTTTTGGCCTGTAACATTCTTGACATGCAAAATATATCCTAGAGCAAAAGAGAGGGCTTGGGATTTTGGTGTCTGTAAGGCAATTTAAATAGATTTAAACCAATTTTGTGGGCTCTATTCTTAGACTGAGTATCTTGGTTTGCTTCAGCACTAGTTAATTCCTTCATTGAGTTTACACATCAGCTGACCTGTTCTGTGGTTGTACTTTTATTGGTTGATTTCACATATATTCTCTTGCCACTGCAAATGTTTAACCAGGAAGCTGTCGAAGACAACAATGTGTAAATATCAAATATATAACACTTTTGCAATAGAACTAAAGTAGTAGAACCAAAGCTTACTGATGGGTTTAGTTATTTTTACTATGATAAGATTACATTTTAGAATTTTTAAGAAGCGTTTCAGGAGATTTGGCATTTGCTTTTCTGGGAAGAAGTGGTGTTACAGATCAGCACACATTGTACAAAGTGTAGTGGAATAGCCTTTTTTAATTTTGTTTGATGACCCTTGATATTTCCTGGAGCAAGTTCATGAACTCAAAGTTTGCCTCAAAATCAAGGCATCTCAATATAGTCTTAGTTTTGGAGCTAAAAAATTAATCATTTGAGAAAATAGCTCTTTTGTTTTGCCCAGACAACAGTAATAATGGAATGTTTTCTGGGATTTCTTGGGCAGCAAACCAGAATCAAACTTCAAAGAAGATTATCTACCTAATTGCTTGTTGTATTAGGAAACTATCAACCTGAGTATTCCTTCAAAGACAGTAATATTTACATTTTCTTATTGCTTATTTTTGACAGTTGGTGAAAGAAACAGTATATAATATGCTTAATTAATTTCTTGTGTCTGTTTTATTTCAGAAAAGTAAACAAGTGCTACAGGGGTCGCTCTTGTCCAGTAGTTGTTCATTGCAGGCAAGTACAATTTCTAAAATAGCTTTAGAGAGATCTGTATGTGTAAGAATTTAATATAGATATAAACAAAGTGGGCAAATTAAAACTTTACATGAATCACTAAACAGTGAGGTAGGCTAAAAGTTTTAAGTATAATTTAAGTATAATTCAATTGAATTTTAATGTGATTTAATACTTAAGATCTGTTTTCATCATAAAATTATCCTTCAATATGATTTTTTAGATTTTGAGCCACGACTCAACAATGTATGGCCACGCTTTCTAGTATAAGTAGCACTTCAATTTCGTACACCTCCTTCAAAATTACAGTTGTTTTTTGCATGCCCTCCCAATTTAGTCTGCTTTATTTTATTAACACCCAGTTATGTTTTATTTCTTCTTTACTTGTTTTTAGCAATCAGGGTAAGAAGAGGGCGATATCATGGAGTGGAAACCTGCCCAGAGATTGAGTAATTCTTTAAGCACAGACAATTTTTAGGCGTGACAATGTGATAGATGCACACGAAAGCTGTCAGGCAGTTCAGTGGAAAAGTTTACCATAATAACATTAATGTTGGGTTTTGCCATTGGGGGTTCTGACTTACTAATCAAAAATATCCTTGTAGATAATGAAGACAGAAAAAGAGCCCTGCTAAGAGGCAGGATGCTTGCCTTCCCTTTGGATGGGAGTGAGGAGGGAGGGGACGTGTTTCTCACGTGTGGCTCAGACTGAGGGTGCAAGGAGCTGAATGCTCCAGAGGGGGCTGGTCTGCATTGCCTTCAGGAAACGTGAGAAAGGAATGATTTGATGCACAATAAAGAGCCTTCAAATTTCTTGCTATTTCCTTACCGTGTTGGATGGAAATATCTACCATGAGCTCAGGAGTTTTTGTTTTTATTTGGCTTGATTGCTGTCTTGTCTCTCATTATTCAGCTTAACTAATAAGATTGTGTCTTTGTTCCCTTCATAGGCAGAGGAAAAAAAATTATTACCACTTGCTCCTTTTCTCTAAACAATGATCTAGTAACTGAAAGAAAAAAAAATCTCTGTCTACAGAAATTAAGTTTCATAGCAGACTGTATACAGAATGCAATAACGTACCTCACGCTGTTCTGTTATTTTTTTCTTTCATTAATTCTTCTACACAAATTGAGCTATCAATAAAAATAATGGCTTAATTAATAAAACTACATACCAGCCTAATGGGTCACACATGTACCTTTGTGAAAATTTTGGGGAGGGAAAGAAAAAAAGCTTTTACTTAAAGTCTTAATTGTGTTTGCTAACAGCAGCTCTAAAAGAGCATCACGCTGGCAATTACACGTTGCTCTCTGAAAGGGACACAAGCTGCATTCAGATTAGAGAGCTTTGCCCCTCCTGAGGCTTGGTCTCACGTCTCTCAGGAAGGGCTATGGATATACAAAAGTTAAAGCTATTTCTTAAAATAACAAGATAATTCTTTCTGGTCATTGTTACTAGGGAAGAATTAAAGGGAAAGGTACAGAGAAAAAACAAACGACTCATGTATAGTAAAGAAAGATTGCAGTCCTCAGTAATTAAATATTTGTTCTTGGGCAGATCTCTGCATTCCCTCTGACCACTGTGCTCAAATGCATTCTGCAGCATTTTTTACTGTTCTAGATAAAGTTCTAGTCAAACTTACTCTGAGCTTTTCATCTCCTACATAAGTGACTGTAAGGTCACTATACGTACACTTTTTTAATAGAAATGGTGTCCTGGTTTAAGGGTTTCCACCGTTGTTTAAAATGCTTTTCTTGCAAAAACACAACTTGGCTTAAAAAATCAAAACAAAGCCCTGTTATCCGTGCAGGGTAGTAGTTAATCTTCCATAACCAGCTTGTGTTTATTCAGTGCAAGCTTTCTCTCCTCTCTCAGTACCCTCCTTTAACCCCTCATTCTCTCCTCTCCCACCATGTGTAACACTGTAACATTAAGGGCAGGTACCTTCATGTTGAGTCTAGATGCACACTGATAGGCTTTATTTTTTCTTTATCCTTTTCTTTTGGCAGCGATGGTGCGGGAAGAAGTGGAACCTACATTCTAATTGACATGGTTCTCAATAAAATGGCCAAAGGTGAGAATCGAAAGGCTTCTTACTTCCTCAGTACTGAAATATGTGCTTGTGTTGCCATGACAACAGTGGGGGAGCAAATTCACAGAAAATCTGAGAATAAATTAGAGGCAAATTGTACTCTTTCCTGAATGTTCTGTAGTTTTATTTTCATACCAAACACAAATGCTTTGTGAATGAGAGGTGTGTTTGTGCTGTTGAGAACTATTTGAATTTCTAAATTTATCATTTAAAGTAATTATTACCGTTTTTACAAGAGATGCCTTGGGGCTGCACAACCCTAATTTAGCAGTTACAGGATCTGGGTCCTGGGCTGTGTCGTGGCTGTTGCCCACGTGGGTGTTACCTGCCCCACCATGACAGTCAGATGTGAATATTTTCCTTTTTGGAGCTGCCCATTGCCACCAATGCGTGTAGAAATGGTGGTACCAGAAAGGGCCTCGGGTCTGGCACAGATTTGTTTCTTACAAGGAAAAAGACTGTAGTGAACAGGACAGAGGACTGAAAATAAATCTCCATTGCCAGTTCTGGCACTATCTGTTCAGTATTGAACAATGTATTTAACTTTTCTGTTTCTTAGAAGTCTCATCTGTGATATGTAATTTTATGATGTGGGAAATAATCTGTCAACTAAACATAAACTTGTTTGTTAAAATGAACAACCTACAGATTCCCTAGAAATTGGGACCATTCCCTTTTTTTTCCTTGATTGGTAAATTGTTCATGATGGGAAGTACTTGAGATACTCGGAAATAATCTTTGTTAGAACTGAACAAATTTTTAATGCTGATACTGTCTTCAGAAGGAAGGAGGGTGAGACTGAACATCTAAACCTGACCAAATAAACAAAAAGAAATTTGCCTTTATTTATTCTTAGCCTGAATTCTTAAGCTGCGTCTGGCATTATGCACACACGTGTATTTATTGAAAAAGGATTAGTTGTAAAAACATACTAATTTATAGAGAGAAACAATATTTAATTCTTTGAATTCTAATCTTTTACAGCATTTCTTTGAAGTCTTCCAACACAGACATATTTTTATATGTAGTTTAAAAATACTTTCCATGCTTTGCAGTCATCTGCTGCTGCATCCTGAATATTCCAGTCCTCTGGGACATGGTGGTATCCGGTCCCTTTGGAAAGAAGATTTTAGCTTTTCTTTTTTTTCTCCCCAGATTCTGTTAACATGTCTCATCAAACATGGACTGAATTTTCTGCCCGCAAGCATCATGTGGAACTTGCCACTGATGCTAAAAGAAGTTATATGTTTGTCTTCTCCTTTGCGCTGTACTGAAAATAAATTTTTCAGTGGGATGAGATTAGTTTTTCATGCTCGTTGGAAAATAGGTTTTTGCTCTGTGAAGGAATATGGAGATATTTCCAATGCTTGTTACTTGCCACGTGACAACCTAGACTTTAAAAATAGAAGCAATGGTACATCGTAAAATTAATGTGGACCTTTGTTAAGTGTTTGTTCACTCATTTCGGCTATCAGCAGTGAGAAGCCATAATGAAAACTAGATTTAAAGTATATGCAATTTATTGGCATATAGAAGTAAATGAGGAGTATTTTCTAGCTTGAGGCTTTCAGCCACTTAAGGGAGGGTTGACTTTGTTGTAAAAGCACTGAAGAATGCCATTTATTGACTCCATTGTACCATGTAATGTCAAATTCCATTTTAAGTGTGGGCTTAGCGCTGCACAATGCCAGACAAGTCATGTGAAACTGGCCAGAGAAAGGCGTCACAGGGCTTTTTGGAGATCGGTCACCCCCATTTTGTTCTTGACCTGCTCCCCTCTGCCCGTGGGGGTGTGCGACGCGAAATCCCCTGACCTGGTGCTTTGGCTGGAGTTTAAATGAAAGATCAAAGGGCAGAGCGGGCATCTCAGCCCTGCTGAGGTGGGCCTTTCCCAGGCTGTCACACTGTGCGGCCGCCAAAGGTTTTGTTCGGGCGGGAGCCGCGGCCCAGCCTGTGCGGCCGGGGCCCTCTTTGTCTGGCCTGAGAAGCTGGAGGCCCAGGTTGAGGATCCAATGTTCATCAAATGATCAAAGGCCTGAAGCCCTGGACATGAAATCTTTCTTTCCATTTCCTTTTCTTAGAGAATGAATTGCACGAGTGGCAAAGAATGCCCTTTCCAAAGCTTTTATGTGCAGTGCGAGGGCTAACTTCAGAGTCCTTCAGCGCTGAACATAAAAATGTAAGTGCACTTTCAATCTGGGCCCAGCTGCAGGGCCAGCATCGAGGAACCCTTCTTTCAAAAAGGCTTTTAAGGATTAAGGCCTTCAGTCTTTCAAAAAAAAAACCACCACAGACTTTTAAGAATAAACTTAGAATAATTTGAGTTTCTTGTTCCATGGCCTGGTTTATTAGAAAGTAGACAATAATGCATTTTTAAATCAAAGTAAATAGAGGAGTACTTAGTTTCAGCAGTGGGAAAGTAGAAAGCAATCAATAAATACCTTGGCTCTTTAGTGGGGTCTTTAATAGGTTGGGCAAAGGAGCTCCTTTTTCATGTAATGATTTACTTCCCTGAATTCTCTTAGACAGTTAACTGTAAATGCCTTTGTCATTTACAATTTCTTCTACTGCTCATTGAATTAGTGCTAACACTTAGTCTATTAAACGCGTTATAAATTCATATCTTCTACTACCCTGCTGTTGCCAACCGTCATACTATTTTAGATGCTGAAAACCACCAACAAGAGACCTGTTCCTAAAACCTAAAGCAGGGGAAAAGAAATCAAGTTGGGGAGGATTTTCTGTTTGACATCTGCCACATCAATTTGACGCCCCAGCCCCTTTGAGGAAGGGAATTTTGAGGAATGAAAATTTAAAGAAGCAAAGTATCTCAGCTCAGGGCACTTGCAGGACGGTAAAAGTTGGTAATGAGAGCAGAAATGCTCCCATGGTGTACTTGGAGGGTGAATTGAGCTGGTGGAAAGATGTGCAGGAGCTCACAGGGGCACTGGGACAGATTTGCTGTTGGGGGAGGTTCTTAATGAATTTCACTGTCCTCAGTGCAGTAAACGCAATGACTGCATCTGTGCACTTATTCCTAACATCCATATGAAATAATCTGAGATACTGGAATAAGCAGAGAGCACAGAGTGTCTATCCTGTGCTATCATTCCTGTGTCGTGTCAGCTGGAAGTTTCAATGCAAAGTAGATCCTTTTGTTTCATTGTTCCAATAATTAATGTAGCTATTTATCATAGAGTTTATTACTATAATTTTTTTTCTTTCTCGCTTCATATGCTATTGCCTAGAAAGTTTGAACAAGTTGATCCTTGAGGTCCCATTCCAACCTGGTGCTCTGTGATTCTGTGATACGTTGATCCTATGTCCATCAAGGCAATAAGAAAAATGAGACAGTGCTGAATCTGGCCTTACAGTAACACATTTTAATACTATTTAACATGTTTCAGTTATGGTACCTATTTAACTATGATAACTATAATATTTGTACATGGGTGTTAAAGTTTTAAGACAGTTACCAAATCACCTCTCATTTCAGTGACAGCCATCTTAGCACAAGCCTTAGTTTTTAGTTAGAAGCTGAGAAGTGATTTAGTGAGAAGAAGTGAGAAGTGATTTAGTTCAGCCCATGTGCATTTTCATGATTTAAATAAATACAAAAAATTATAATGGATTGTTGCTGTAGATAACAATGCTTGCTGGATTTTTCATAGGGACTGTTTCTCTGAGGCTGATTTCTGCTGAGAATTTCAACGTTCCTGATGTGTTTACAAGTTTTATCCTTTGTTACTAGGGAAGATAAGATGATTTAGATTTAGTCTACTTGATATTTCGTCCTCCCCTCAAACTCGCAATAATGCTGAGCTGATCAGATTTTTTCTCTTTTTGTGTGATCTAGAGAAAAGTCGAGAATTTTCTCATTTCATGTCTTTCCTGCAGGCTTATTGTAGTGACTAAAAGTGTGATATATTGCAAGACATTTTTATTGAGTGTTTTTGGCAAAAACACAAAAAAAAAAAAAAGAGAGAGATTATGAGTCTTCCCACTTTCATTTTTCTCAACTGTGAGGCTTGGATAGTGTAGATAATAGTTTGATTTTTAGATATTCATCCAGCCAGCAGCTGCTTAGGGTTTGCTGACCATCCATTTTCTTGTGTTTGAACTAGCTGAAACGAGATGAGTCAAAGGGAAGGCGAATATGAATTTTAAAATCCTTTTAAAGTATTGATTTCCAAATTCTAAAACCCAGCAAAAAAGATTTGATTTAGCAAAGCCGAACCAACGGTTTATTCTCTTGCATTCAAAGGCTTGGATTATAATTGATGAGCACACACACTCTGGCCAGGGCTGGCTGTGGAGGTTATCTCCCCAAGTCCTTTCCTTGCCCCTGCAACCCTATTGTCTGAGGGTCTTGTGAGTCAGCTCCTGAGCAGATGCAGTTTATACCGTGACATTTTAAGGCAAAACAAAAGATTCCTTAATTCGCCTTCTGACTCATCGTGATCAAATGATTTGGGCTAATCTGAACTCTTGCTGAGGTTTTGCTTATCTGCTGTTTGGATTTAACAATCATAATGAAGTTGTGGGGTTAGCTCCTCTCTGAAAGGATTTTATGAAAGGAAATGCTTGCCCATACTCGTGTTAAAATGGATTCAATCTGCTTATTTTTGAGTCCTTATGCAAAGTCTGAGAAAATTCTATTGTTCTGTTGTTCTGATACAAATCTGAGCTGACTATTTCTGACATGCTTTTGATGAATGAGGAAATATTTCCTCAGCCCAAGATCAAGCTTCTCCCATAAAAAAAAAAAATTAATGTACTGCTTTTCTTCAGAGGTTGAGAGAATATCAAGTGTAAATGGAAAAATTTCTTTTTCCTTTTTTTTAAGGTAATAATAGTTAGAGGGTCAAAAAGTGGGATTAGAAATAGGTGGTATTCTAGGAAAACAATTTACAGCAGAAAAACTCAGGATTTAAAAATATAATTGTTTTCAGGGTCTAAATTTGAATTAATTACATGCCTGG